GGAAATAAGCAACATCAGGATTGCATAATGATGGCAACTGTCCACTATGGATAGTTCTACCTTTAAAAAGATTTTATCAAACAGAATATACCTTTTTCAGGCATTCCAGTTCTCTGTTAGGAGCAATCTTCATTTCAGACATACCTACATTACTCACCCACAGTCCTGACCCTCAATTTTTCTTCGGTACTTTTTATCACTTTAAAATACTCTCTAGTGCATCTGCAGATTTCCATTCGAATTCATAAGCTGTTTGGGGGAGGGGCTTAGTTCTTCATGTGCTTGAAAGTGTCAAATTCATTACATGCAATAACAGTAGTTCAAGGGAAAAAAAAAACGTATACACTGTTTTGTAACCCAGGGTGAATGCAACTAGTACAGACAAAGCACCAAAGAGTTTGTGGTTGCTGCTTCTGGAAAGTAGACCTTCTGTTTCCCATGAATGGAGATGTTAGGAACTCTTTTCCAGCAGTGAACATACACGCAAACTGTTGATCACCAATAAATATTTCACGTAATATGGTGTAAATAACTGACCTTCTCTCCTTTGATGCCAGCAATACCCTAGGGAGAAGAACAATCATATTATTAAAACAGAAAAGCAAAAGAAACAATGGTGAAAGGACAGATTCTAAATATTCTCTAAGCTCAGTGCTCTTGAAATGATTTATTTTCATGGACACGTTGTATAGCCAGGTACATGTTTACTATGTTAAACCATGACACTGTGCCAGACTTGAATTTAAGAAGAAAGGGCATATTGTTAAAAAATAGTCCAGTCTCACGTTTCCAATTCTACAAGTGACGGGAAGAGTTTTGAAGCCTGACCTTAATAAATAAATAAATAAAATCAGGAGGGCTGGGGAAGTAAAATAATGTTTAGAAGTTATTAGATTTGAAGCCACTGGAACTTGACAGACAGCATTCCTTTTCCATTTGTTGTTTAGACGTTTCTTTTAAAAACACATTTCTAAAGAGAAAAAACAAACCCCAGGGTTAAAGCAATACAGCCATAACAAGAAGTTTTGAGTTTAATTCCTGGTTCTTATTGACTTAATTAGGCCATACCCTCAAAGGTATTTAGCCATGAACTGAAACTGCAATCTATTAAATATATATTAGAGATGCGTGTGGTAAATTTTCATGAGTATCCCTTGAGACACTGAAGAGCTAACACCAGTCAATGAATTCGCATGCACTCATTAACTAAGAAGTTGAGGCCCAACATGCAGCAGATAAAGCATTACTTTTAACTTTGGTTTCTTCACCACACAGTTTTCGTATTAATAAAATGGGGATACCTATATATTTCAACTGTTGTCAATACCAGCTAATGTGAGGCTTCACACTCCTTCAGTGAATGGCTTTATGTGGTAGAAATGCACACAATCATGAATTTCACAAACACCTACTGGAACGCCTGGAGCACCTCTTCTACCTGGAGGACCTGGAAAACCTCGATCGCCCTGAAAGTAGTAAGAGTGACTGTTAATGCATTTTATTGTTTATTATTTGGCCTGATTTTAGCAAATGTGATTACAAAAGAAGTGTTTTATGTTATCATACCAAAATTGTGAGTTGCATTATCACCATATTTGCTAGAAGGGGCACAGCCTGACTGTATGGGTCTTGACTTCTAGCCCAGACACCAGACTTTATTAGCTGTGTCAGATCAGTTCACTGTTTCACTAGAAATGTATGATTTTTTGTAGTAGGCATTCTTCTGACTCCCTCTCTCAGAATGCTGGAAGCATTTGCTCATAGAGCAAAGAAAAACTAGTAAACCTGTAACTTAACATTAAGCCTTTTCTTTTAATTGCTTTCAGGACTTATGAATTGTCAACTGCAAGCTAGATACTGGTGAAATAAAATTAATTATCTATCTCTTCTATAACCCATTTCAACAGAAGGACAGGATGGACAAAACTGATTAGTTCTTCTGGATTTAATGCAAAAAGTTTCATCTGTCAAAATCAAATATTATTCTCAACTTTTTAGCAAAGGCCATTAACATGTATTATTTAATTATCTATCCTACACAAAAAGGCAGCACTTATCCTTCCTCTGGCCTCATGATTCAAATTTTTCCTAGTTGATAAAGTCACAAACCAAAACAAATCAAAGTTGTTGTATATCGGGGGAAAAATTCAGAATGCTTTTTGGCCATTCCTAAGCGTAGCCAAACACAGTCTCCATAACATTCAGCTTGGTTTGTACCTTTGTGCCGTTGCATCCTGGAACACCCGAGCGCCCAGGAGGACCAACAGTTCCCGGTTCACCCTAAAAAGAAGTGCAAAATCGACAAAAGCTTTGTTTTCACACATTCATATTCCCCTACAGCAACACTGAAAGAGTTTATCTTGGAGTAGTGTTTCACAAGACTTGACAGACTACAATGTGTTCTTAAATCATTACAATGAGTAAGAACTGCTGATGCCAAGATTGCTACCTCTAGGCTAATTGGCAGAGACAATGCTGATGTTGAGACTAGAGCGAGCACATTGGGCTGCGGATAACTGTGTACTGAAGACTGTAGTAAGAGAAAAATGGTTAAATCAGTTTTGGTTTTACTTACTGGAAGGCCTGGGGGACCTGAAAATCCAGGTATTCCTGCGACTCCCTAATGATATAAAAACAGGAATAAAATTACTAATATTAAGCAAAAGCTCATGATGCAGGTTTCCTTTTGATCGCATTCATAAGAAGAATGAATGCAAGTATGAGTCTATCAAAAGATCGTTATTTCCTTAACCCTTCTGACTGTGAACCAAGTATAATGGTAGTTTATGCACTGTTAACAAAGACTGGTTTCGCCCACAGAAAAAAACCCAAAACAACTCTTCATGGAATTCTAGTCTGACTTTTTCACAGCACACCCCAATACTAAATACATACAGCATGAACCTTGTACATAAGGTGTAGCAAAAAAGGCGGAAGTTCTAAAAAACAGATAATGCATGTGCATGCTCCGTGTCATAAATTTTAAAAGTACTTTAAAATCATACATAATGTTTTCTTTTTATTTTTCACAAATTATTGAACCAATTTGGCACTTAACGTGACATTTAATACATACAAGTTTGTTTAAAATATAAATACTTACTCGTATACCTTTGGGTCCAACTAAGCCCGTACGCCCTGGAGAACCCTAGATCACAAGTGGAAAACAACGTATTTCAATATAATTGAGAAAAAGCACATGTATGTCAACAGGACATGCAATATTTTTAATACCAACACATGCACACAAAACTATACAAATAAATGATTTGTCTATTACAGACACTAAAGCAAACAAGCATTTAATACAACTTGCATAAATCTTGGCATCTTACCCTCCTTTTCAGTGTTTACAGGGGATATATCTCATCATCGGTCAAAAAAATAACAGTCAGGGTATGTTAAGAAAGCAGTTGCTATGGATCTGTTCAAACTGTGAGAGCTGGAAGTGCTTCCCTATGAGGAAATAGCTGGAAGCCTCACCAGGACTCAGGAGAGCTTTTCAGCTCCCAGATATGGGTGATGGTCAGCTAATCCTCAGGTAGACGCATGTACCAACAACTCTCACCTGCACTGTTGTGCATGGAAAGGAAAGCCAGGAGCAGGCTGAAAGGGGGCTAGGCAGGGTGGGAGAGCAAGGCTGAAAGAAGACAGCAAAGCATGCCACAGCACAGTCTAGACAGAACCTGCTAGAATTGTTTCAAGACACTTAGAGCTTTACTGATAATAAGAAACTTTTATCATTCCCTGAAAGGAAATGGAGAATGTACAGAACTGCATAGCTCCTAAAATCCTGGGTGACATTTCGTTTAAGATAATGTACAGGTGGTGAATAGGAAAAGCTAACTGGAATACACTACAGTAGATAGCATTCAGGCTAACAGAGATGTTCTTGCAGACAAATTATCCTTACTTTTTGCCATTCTTGCAGAAGTTATTATCACTTATTAAAAGGGAAATGCTCTACTAAACACTTTCGATGAGTTCAAGTAAATGGCTCATCAACATGTATGAGATCCACCATGAGTATCAGTTCCACAAAGTATTGTAAAAACGAGACAGGATAGAATAATGCAACAATACCCAAGCAAATTAAAACTATAAAAACCATTTGTTTAAAGGTATGGATAAGTGCTGGAGCCACATTAGTGCAGGTCCTAGATATAACGTGATTGTGGCAATACCCTCCTGATTTATACTGTGACTGAGTTCACGCCATATTTAGACACAAATAATTTATTCACCAGAGTCAATTTATCGATGACAGCAGGAGTGCTGTTCCTCAAGACAAATAGAAATAAAATGTTTTTTAATGAGCAATTTATTTGTTTTTTCTGCTCATGCAGGAGTCATTGAAAATTCATATTCAGCCTCAGTTTAGGCACACAGGAAAGAAAGAAATCCCAAGTCACCGAAGTCACTCTCTCCATACTGCAGGCAACCAGGTATTTCCTAAACAGACCAAGATTTATCTTAAAAACCATCTTTCCCTTCAAATTTTCTTAAATCTGTTTTTCATATTTGTCTCAGTAGCAGCTTGTTTACTCTCTTTCCAGCAATAGATGTCAGAGTATACTGTTAGGACAAAATTGAGGTTACGCTGCTAAAATCTATTTAGACCCATGTTCATTGCCTCTGGCAGTTCAGTCCAGGTGCTTTAGCACTGGCCAATGGACAGCTGACCACAAAAGCCCATGTTCATATCAGCTACTTCGACTCCATCAAAAATGACCACTGCAGCTGGTGACCACACAACATCCCTCACCAAACAGGAGGCTCTGAAACAGGCTTTGTTTTGATTTGGTTTTGTTTTTTAAAACAGAATTCTGTACCCAGTCATAGCTGACTTTCACAGTCAAGCACAGTAGTTTCTCTGTGTCTCTCTCTCTCTGTGTCTCACGTACACACCTACCTTTGGTCCCTGGGGCCCTGGAGGCCCTTCTGGACCAGGAAAGCCTCTGTGACCAGGTGGACCTGGAACACCAGGAAAGCCTTTTTCACCCTGTAAACATTAAGAGAATGAAGTTCTTAAAATATCCATGAATTCTCCTTTTGATAACTTATTTCTAAGGTATTTATTACTTTCAGTACCTTTTAACTTCTACATACCTGTCTGCTACTGTGGCAGATATATTACCCTTGCCCACACTGACCTGTTTTTGTGGTCCCGCCTACGTGCTGCCTAGGCCACATGGTACCACTGAAGTAACATGCTCGTAAGTATGGTTGAAGAGATCAGAAGACAACAGTACTCAAGATTTTGCAGAGTACAGAACTTAATTGGCAGCAGGAAAAGTTTAAGAAAGCAGCTGATACATACTCCTTGTTAATATTCTGTATCGTGTTTAGTCCCTACAAGCAACACAAATCCAAATCCATCATAGCCCTAATTTCTAGTTGGCAAACTTAATGGCTGCTGCTGTACAGCAAGTTCCAAATCATCAATACCTCTCTTCATGCAAGCCATGGAAAGAAACAGTGGGAGTCAAATGCCATGAAACCATTCAGATAGAATAAAAGAAGTTTGCTTTAAGCAACAACTTTTAAAAATTGTTCTGAGTCTCAGAAATTAAGACACCCAATTACTTTTTCATGTGTCTTTTAAGGTCAAGTTCAAATAACCAAACCACGTAAAGGAAGCACAGAAGATTAAAGCTATGCAAAGAGAATACAGGAGGCTAAGTTACAGTGGAAGGAGCACTTTCAGTTTTTTATTTAAATATAATGAAGGTGCAAGTCTTATCTTGGTTAAAATAAAGTGCTTCAAGCCTAGAAACTCACAGAAAAGGTGTTTCAGCTCTTTAGATAGCAGCAATTTAGCATGCTCAATTCTACATCAGTGAAGAGCTGCCTATTCAAGACCTTATACATCACAGCATGACATGGGAGAGAGAGGATGGGGTTATTGATTCTCTCAGAGTCGATTTTCCTATTGCTTTATCAGAGGAGAGTTATACAAAAAAGCATTTGAAATTCTGCTGTGCAGAAGTTCTGGTATCTTACTATTTGGTGCACAAGATAGGATCCAAAAGAAGTCTCAGGGAAGCCAAAATACCTTGGCTTCTCCCTCCACCAATTCTCGCCCCTCAAAATCCCACAAGCTCACCAGATTTTAAATAGGTTCTGAATTAAAAAAAAAAAAAAAAGAAAGATAGAATATAATCCCAGAATATTTTAACACAAATCTAAATAAGAATTGCATTATGAAGTGTCTGTGAGATCTGTATCATAAACCGGCATAGTTTTTTATAACAAATCATTTATTTCATCCAGCAGCATCCCAAGGAAGGCAAAAAAGGATAATGCTGTACCAAGACGTGCCACTGGAGGGGGCGTGATACTAACTCACAGAAAAACGAAAGAAGCCCTTGATCTTCCTCCACTGAACTTGCTGCCCCCTCACTGCTCTCCAGCTACAGAGCAGCACTGCACTCTCCTGACAGCTTCACTCCTCTCCATACAGTACAGGCAATTTTATCCACACTTTCTTCTTGACAGATCAACAAGATCAGAGGATTCTTGGGTTCGAGAATTTCTTAATGTTGAACAGTTACCAAAACATATTGATTAATGTAGTTGTCCTGACTTTCCAAAGCTGCCTGAAAAAAATTCCATCAGTGTAAACAATGATTACTTCTTACCTACTCATTGCTCAGTTGCTTTAACGTGGAACCGATGAAGACAAGTTGCAGGTGTTTATTCTTATTAATGTTTCTCTTTTAGCGGGCAGCTTATTTTTTTTTCTAATTTTTCAATTGGTCTCAATTTTACTGGTTAGGACAAAGTCAGGTTAGACCAACTAAGAACATGAAAAATAAGCACTGAGATTTTACTAAAGACATGAGTATTCTCCTTTCCCACTTATGAAAATGTGTTTTAATAATGAGCATATTTACTTTGAGAGAACTTTTCTCCACCACTGAAATGAAGCTTCCTAAAGGCAAGACTAGTAGTGTTTACTGTGGTGCAACTTTACATTTTGTCTTGGCAATAAAAGTACAGGAGGAAAGTTGTGAATAATTCTTTACCAGCCAGATGTGTCAATCGGTGGGACTAATCACAACCCTAAGCCTATACAGCCATCTGGAATCTACTGATAAGGTTTAGTATGGCAATCACTGTGTCCACAGTTAGCCCGAATTACAGCCATGACTTCTTTAATAATGCCCCTTTCATTTGTGAATCAGTTGTTTTTCCAACTACAAGCAGGAGTTTGAAAGAATTTTTGGTATTTGTGTAATTCAGGTTTGTCTAAAAGCCACTCCGAGCCTCTGCCAAGCTACTATTGGCAACAGGCAGAGCTGCGGCTCTGTTACTTTTGACGGATTTGATGCTGTTCCCTCACTGCTGGCAAGGTGTTTGGGATTAGGACCCAGAGACTCATGCCCTGTGTTGGTCTGCAGGAGATTTATCTGCTTGATGCCAGTGCATGTAGCTTTCCTTCAGGAACCAGAAAAGGGGGGGAGATGGGCAAGGTCCCAAGATGCAAAGAGGGAAGCACTGAACATGACACTCCTGATGGCATTATGAAGTTTGTAACAGGAGAGCTGCTGCCAAGGTAATGGTATCTGTGGGCATTTGTTAGGAGTTTGTGAAAGGGACCTAGTGCTTTGGACAGTTGTTCTTCTGTTGGTGTTCAAACATCACGCAATGCTGTAAACAGATGAATGCATTTAAAAAAAATAAATTTAAAAGTCATCTTAGTTAAACAACGTCCCCAGAGTTATTTTAGCACATTTTTGTAAGGTAATGTATTCCTTTTACAATTCTCTGTAGACTCTGCTGACAGAATACCATCACACAATAAATTCACTCACTATATCAACTCAACTAATGGATTAACAATTTCCAGGTATAAGCTAATCTTAAAAAAGGAAAAATGTATTTGTTCTTACCTTATTACCTTTCATGCTATCACAAAAGCAGGGACTTTTACCTTTGCATACACAGCTCTGAAAAACAAAAAGACAAACTTTATAATAAAATTATTTTTCTCATTGTGTTGTTTGGTGAGGGGCAAATGAGATCTCAGTAAGGTAATTATTTCACAGATAATACAACTTTAAAAAAAAAGTTTGTGAATAGTGGCAATTCTCAACAGCAGAAAAGAGCTCATTGTTCCTCTGTATTGTCTTTTGAGACAGATAAGGGCACTAGTTTAATTTTATAGTTGGGGTAAAGGCCAAGAAGCCGTGCTTAACACCACCAGGGTTATAATACCAGTATGAAGTGTAAAATTCAAGAGTTTGGGCTCACAGCACTAAACATTGATGATCCTTTAAATAGCTTACTATAGAAACAAATACATATACTGATAATTCCTTTAGACTACAATGATATTCTTTCTATTTTAATCTGTTAACCAATACTTTTTCTGACATTTTGTAGCTGCATTCACCTCCTGACCCTGGCTGATGGTACCTAATACAATTACAAAGGACGCTCAACTTTGTTGTTTCTTAATTCTGGAGGTTTCCTGAGCCAAGCTGTGTGGCAGTGAGTGCCCTCACACAGGGATGTCCCCACTCCTGCAGCAAGTCCTGGGCTGTAGCTGCTACCATCATGTCTGTGTCTTCAGGTGAGCCTGGAATTCAAAGCCCTCCTTGGAGGGCTGAGTGTTGAGTGACCTCTACTGCCGGAGTATGGCATGGCTATCTGGGAGCAACTACAATCTGGGAAAATTCAATGATTAATCAAGTATGAAGAGATACTCAGTTTTTTTATTGTTCACACGTAAGTGAAACAAACAAAAAACCAAAACAAGGCTATTCAGTATGTAACTGGATAGACAGCATGACTAAATTGGCTAGCTCATGTACTAGGTAGTTGTGGTAGCAGGGAGCTCAGCAGAGCTGCAAAGCACATCTGAGATCCTGGGTGAATATGAGAATACTTAACCCTTTTCTACACTCATGTAGAGATATCCTATTTCAGTGGAGTGGAGGAGGAAAAAAAAATCCTTTGTTAACATAAATAATATACTAAAATATCACTGAGGTTATTGAAGCCATATATTTCGTACAGATGTGGAGTAAACTGCATTTATTGTGCTTCTTTGTACACTTAAATTCTTTCCTTCGCTTTTGCAGCTCTTGCTGAATGACTTTTCAACTGCACCGCTGTAGAAAGAGGGCTATTTTTCAGTTTACCCTCCCACTTTAGTATGTATGTTTATCACAATGACCATATACTATGGTATAGTTACAGACAATAAGAAAGGGACAAATATCACTTATTGGTTATGAAGATATTTTTCTAAGTTGCATAAAATTCAGAAAAGAAGGAAGAACTGTATTTTTTTCTTACAAGATTAAAGCCTTTAAGATGGTATGATATGAAATTTCTATTTAGATCTTGAAGACAGAATTAATTAACCCCTACAGCTGGTCATAATACAACAGCAGCACTGTTCCAAATTTGTAACTTTTCCAGTGGCGTTCTCAAAAACAGTCAGAGGAAAAAAATGTTCTCCATTACATTTTAAAATGATAATGTCAGATTGTCATTAAATTTAAATTTTCCTGGAGCAATCTGTTCAGGTAAAACATTTTACAGAATTGAAAAGCATATTTTCTTCCCACAAGCTAAGATCGATGTCTTCTATCTTTATCATCCAAAACTGAGGTGTGTGGTATGAGCTAGCTGCCTTCATTTCTTACACAGTTCATGGTGTTTGTCTCTTTCCATTGACTACACAAGGAAACTTGACACCTAGTTTGGAATGACTCATCCAGTCTCTTTAGGTGCCTCTTTTAGGATGGAGGAAAGATGCTGTAAGTACTTGCTGTTCTCTATGGACTAGACAATTATGGACAGCAGCTGCCTGTCTTTTAGGTGGCTGAAGTTAGGCGAGATGACACCATCTATTAATTTAAACATAGATGCAGGGGGTATTCCTCAAGTGAACAGCTATTTAAACATTCATTTACAAAATAGAAGAGAAATTAGAATCAGTTGGTCATGAAAAGCAAATCCCCCCAAGAAATTATTGTATCTGCCTGTGTTCTATAGACAGATCAATAGGTGATTACTTGATGTTTCAAGCTAGATTTTTAAAGAGTTGCAAACATTAAATACTTAATTCTTTGGCATATCTAAAGAAGAGTCTTTCTTTCCCTGATCTGACAGCTAGAATTCAAAATCAGAATTTTGGAAAATTTGGAATTTTGGAATTTGGAAAACAAAGGTGTCATGTAAAACAGAAACCATGTGACTATGCTACCTTTACTATTATTTTAATCAATATGATTATATCCCAGAGACACAAGAATAAACACTAGTGCAGAATTAACAACAAACGGTATCCTGATTTCTTCTCAGTGAGGTCTATCAGTTTGGCACTGGCTAATCTAAATTCACCAAGTAAGTTATATGACAGATATCTTAAGCCTTTAAGCATAAATACCAGAGGATAAAGTGACATATATCTCAAAATAAATTTGGAATAGCCTATAAGACGACCAATTTTCTTGTTCCCTATTCAGTAATGGTACCTTCCATCCCAAAGTATTCTCTTCAAAATAGGTGACACAGGTTATTGGTACATGTCTGCTAAGCAGTATAAAACCGGTAACTGTTCAATGTTCAGCATCCCAAGGAAAGATGTAAACACAGTACACAATAAAAGTAGTCTTAAATTGCAGGCACTGCATTTTACTGCTGTACGGGGCTGGTGAGTGACTCAAGCTACCACATTCTTAAGGCCTGCATATGAAAATTATAAATTAACTACAAGACCTACGAGACCCATTTACTCAGCAATCTCAACTGCTGAAGCAAAGATTTAGGTTACAGATTTAGTAGACATATGTCTGAGTCCAGGAAAGGTGCTGTTTACTGAGGAAAAAATGCTTACAGTATTCCAAATTCTCTGAATTTCTTCAGTGTACCTGGGAGCATATCCTGGCTGACCATAGAGAGCTTTCCTGAGAAATAGCCACAGCTGGCTTCTAATCTTCCTAGTGCCAGTTATTTACCATTCTAATTCTATAGACCTTCATGGAGTTGCACCTTATTTCTACCTGTGAAAGTAAAGCTAGAAGCAGATTCTTTACAGTATTTGTATGCAAAGCACAGTTTTCAGGACACGTAGAGAAATCACCAAATGAAATGACTCTTCTATAATAGGTATAATCTGCAAAAGACTTGATATGTAGAGATACAGAAGAAACTTTTTAACGTACAATCACAGATAATTCAATGTGAAGTTAAATGCATGAACGTGTAGAAACTTATGATGCTACGTAACTAAATAAAGTTATTAAACTATTTAAAGAAAAAGAGCCTTTGCTCTTCAAGAAGTCAGAATGCTTAGAATGTGTTTAATTTCCCATTAGTAAGCTTTCAGATCAATTTAGGTCTTTTTGTGTACACATATCACTTCAAACTAAACTGAAAAGACCAAAGATGATTTTACATTGCACAGTTAGCTGGATAATACTTAATGTTTTGGCATATGTTTTTTCCATAAGATTAGATTCTGCCTTCTGTAAAGGAGCTTTGAACCAAAAAATCATTGCTCACTTATACTACTGGATGTTTCCACATCCTTGGAAGATGCTTGCAGCTCCATTATCAAAGGACCATAACAAAACAATAGTATATTGCCAGGTTGTAAGATAAGGAAATTGAATATTAGTTATTAATGGTTTATTCAAAATCCTCACAATAACATCTACATAAGTAAATGCACTACCAAAGCCACAGGTTTACCACGTTTTTCAGTTTAGTGATTTTTATAATAATCACCTACATTTATTTCAAATATTTAGATACAGTAGATGGCACTAGATTTTTGATCTGAAAATCTAGGCCAAAGGATAAAGTCAGATCATTATATGAATAACAAATCAAATTAATTCACCAATGAACCAAAATTAAAAAAAAAACCAACACTTTCTTTGAGTAATTTATAGAGGAGCTCCTTTCAAAAGTGTTTTGAGTGATAGCAGTAGTATTCTATGTTCTTTAAATAATTACAGCTGAAGCACATTTTCTGCAGGGGTTAATGTTTTGTTAGTGGGTGCAACCTTATCTGTAACACCGAATTGCCCTTCCTTCACTATGGGATTGGATTCTATGGGGCTCTGACTTCTTCTTGCCCCCAATTCAGAGACTAACTTAAGGATCTGTTTAAAAAGTGTTCCAGTCGTCTCCTTCACTGAATCCCTCAAAGAAACGACTAAGAAAGAAGGAAGAAATAACGTATGACAGACTACATTGTCACCTATACAAAGCTTAACGTAGCTTGGCACTGCTACTCCTACCATTGCAGTCATGGCAACTTAATTTGGAGTATCAGAGAGAATCTTACATAGCTCACAGTACTTTGCCAATAGAGCTAGTTAGATGAAGGATGTCAGAGAACGTATTCTGGGATGTTATCAAACCTGAATATGTCAAAGGATGTCACAAAGCGTTAACGTCAGGAAAAGAGCAAACAATGATAGGCATTTATATCAATAGCACAGCCTTTGAGTCCTGTCACTCACATTTGTGGGGCAACACAGTCATACTGGGAATGATTTAAAGGCAGGAATATGGTGAACAGACAAAATGAGCCAGTGCGGGTGATGAGCCAATATTTCTCCATTGATCTCTTTTTGGAATGACATATATGATGACAGAACTCTGACTGACAGTCAGAGTATTTGTTTGCTTATCCAGATCCAGAGAAGAGTAGAGTAGGTCAGCTATGATTTCAAAATACATATTTGTATTAAAAATACTGCACCCAGGACAGAGAGGCAGCAAAGTGTGCTGCTGCAGACAACAGGCAACATATTCTTTAAGTATGTTTCAGATGAAGACTACATCAAGACCACACAGGATGACTAATAAAGACATTGAGATGAAAGCTGAGATGAAATTAAATGTATTCTGTAGAATATAGTAATCTTGCTTCAGTGGG